AATTTTTTATCCACATCAACATTTTAGACTCATATGTATCATTTGATCAAGTTTTTACTACAACTCCTCAAGAAATTTGATCAAATCTCCAAAAGGGCAAAATGGTCAAAATTAGGGTTTTGACTGAGAAAGGGAAATTTCTAATTTTTAACCTAGCAAATGGTCAATTGGTTTAAGTAATGATCTCAAGAGTCCAATTGCATCATTTTGACCTAATGACATGGTTCAAAATATTGCAAGTCCACTGGATTGACAGATGAATTTTTCAATCAACTGATCAAAAGTCAATTGTATACTGAAAAGTCAAACTTTGACTTTTTGGTCAAAATCAAGTGCCAAAGATCATAATTCATCAAAACATGTCAAAATATGAAACGTATTCATCAAGAAATCAAAAAGTCAGGATTTCATTTTGAAAAGTTAAAATTTTTAAACTTAGAAATTTTTCTAAGTGTTGGAAATTTCATATTTTTTCACAACTTTGAACAAATTTTTCACCATGATGCAAGATGATTCAAGAGAAACTTCCAACATGAAAGTTGTATATATCCATGAAATATACAACTTTGCTTTACACAACTCCTTTCAAAAGTGCTTGGATCTCAAGTTATAATTTTATGAACATAGGGTCATGAAACTAAACACTTAGTGAAATTTTGCCCTAATTTGGCCAGGATTTTGACCTAACTTCATGACACTTTTTCATATAGTTCCAAGGTGAATCTTCAAAAGTAATTCAAAGATGGATTATAGAGCACATTGCAAGATTTTCAAAATGTCCAAGAACTCCTTGAGATCATTCTTGAGTAGGGAGAATCAAAAAGATGAAGTTAGGGTTTTGTCACTTTAATTACAAATTATTTTAGTGATAAACAATATTCAAATTCAAACCATGCTGCATAAACACTACTTTGTAGGCCTCAAACTTGTTAGGCACTCCATATGTAATGGTTTACACAGCTGTTAGAGGCCTCACTTCAAGCATTCAATGCATGGACATGCTTTATATCCATTTTTGGAAGAAATATCACATTGCCATTTTGATAAAGTGACTTTTTGTACAAAATTTGTTCTTGAGCCTTGCACTTGTTATCTTCTGATCAAACAGGTCCTATAACTCATGAGAAATGTTTCAAACACTTACAATCACTCATCCCATGCTTGTACCTCTCCTTGAAACTTGTTTCCCTTTTTCTTCAAAATTAAGTAACTTAGCCAAAATCTAAGAACTGGTACTTCTGACTTACCAATACACTCAAACACTTTTGTTTATACATACACAAACCATTTGACACAAACACACAAATGTTGAAGCCTTGAAAACACCTAGAACTCAGAATCACACTTCACACTTTCATTTTCACACAAACTGACCAAAAACTTGAAACTCATAATCTACTCGTGCGTTTCTTAACCTTTTGGTTTCTAAAGTTTCTAAACATCATATAGATTTGATCTCACGTCCTATTTTAGAACTGTAACGCCATTAACACCATCCTCCATTCTCAAAAACTCAGCTCTGTACATTGACTTTTCCAGACCGTTTCAGCCATCCATTGTTCAAGCTAATTATTGCATTAGCTTCCTATGACCTCAAGGAAGCTAACCTGATCATCACCATCACTTGAAACAAGCTCAAACTCAAAACACAATTTCTAGTTTTGAGGTAAGTTTTCTCAACTTGGAACTCTTCATACAGGCATCATTAATAGTTTATTTGTAAACAAAACATGTAGATATCATTGCCCTGAAGCTAACCATGTCCTTAGTTTCCATTAATTTTGCTTGAGCTTAGAGAATTTTGAAACTGAAATTTTTGAGATTTTTAGGATTCAGATTAGGACCATTAAAATTCATTCTTATCTTTGATCTATAGTTTTAATGCTTTACATTTTTGAAACTGTGAGGAAATTTGCTACAAGTTTCATGTTTACAGTTTTCATTTTTTATGAGAAATGAGCAAGTTACTGTTGGTCTGGCTGGAGGTTGAAGATGAAGTCATCAGGGCGCATTTTACCTTACATATTTATTGTTTTGTTTATGCTAACGGATGTATAGCCACCGCAGTGGTAGAAGTGCACGCTTGTAACCTTTGGGACCTAGGTTCGAGCCCCAGTGGTACCCTTTTTATTTTTCACATTTTTACTTTCTGATTTTTTTGTTTTTTTTGGCAGGCGCTGGGCCTCCTTGGGCCTGGCTTTGTTTTTTTGCTTACTAACCCCCCTGCAGGCTATTGGCACATCTGGCCCAAGTTTATTTATTTTCTTTTTTTATTTCATTTTTATTTTCTTGAATATATTTTCTAAATACTAAAAAAATCATAAAATACAAAAAAAATGCTAGATTTATATTTTGACTTAGTTTATTTTATTTTTCTCATAAAAAATATTTTTATTAATTACTTTATTTATTTTTTACTTATTATCTTGTAAATATAATTAAAACTAGGTTATGAGTTATTTTCTTTCATACTAATTAAAATATATTATTTTTTATATAAAAAAAAAGACTAAAAATATTTCATGATTCCATAAATATTTTCAAGACAAAAATACCAAAAATACTTTTTTCTAAACTTATTTTCTTTTAATCGACTAAATAGAATTAGGGTTTTATTTAAAACCTTTTCTTAATAAATTTAAATTTAATTAATTATTTTCTTTAATTGATTAGGTTAAAATAAAATCTCTTTTCTCTAAAAAATTCAAACAAAATATTCATTTTTTCTTCACCTTCACATTATTGCATATTTATTCATTTTGCAGATTGTATTTATTTAATTCCTTGTACATTGATACTCGTTCAATATGGTTGTTATAGACTAATTAGGTTTACATTCTTGCAATCCCCATTCATGAATTTGTACACTCCCTCCCCATAAATGTTGTAATAGCGTAGTAACTTTAAATTTCGCAATTTATCGCTTTTATACATAATATGCTAGTAATTAGGGTTTGTATGGAAAGACTAAAATCAATACTTAGAAAATCTTAATTCAAGACAAAAACAAGAATGAAAATGATACACTTGCACACTAGCACCCCTAGGGTTATTCCACTTGGTTGCCTTATACAAAATGACCATATTACGCATGTAAGGTATCTTAACAAAAACAAGCAAATACAAGATCATAGTCCCTCGATGACGCTATCTAAATTGCCTTTCAAATGATCTTAGTCCCTAAAAAAGAATGTTAAGATACCTTGCAATATTGCTAATCATGATTATACGATGACTCACGCCCGTCCCGTTTACATCCAAAGATAGGGTTGCTTAACAAATCAATGGTAAGACAACAATGTCAAAGGAAAAGAAAATGAACAAGAAAGACTTTTGAGTAGGTAGAATGCTCCTAATTACTTGCTCAATTTCAAACAAACATCCTTGCTATTTTCAAAAACCAACACTTACACTTTCAAACATCTTGCAAACTTGAAAACATTTTCAAAAGATCAAACATCTTTGTATACATTCTTACAAACAAGAATCATTACAAAGATTGCATAAACAATGGCCTCTTTACAAAATACTTTCAAAAACCACACAAAGAACAAACAAAAAAGCAAGTGATCTAGCAAGTAACTAAGAGCCCATGGAAAACCATGGATGAAAATGGTGATAATACCTTCCCTTTTCATAATCTACCCTCCGAACTCAAGAAATAATCTCAAAGGTCTTTCCTGTGCCTTTTAACCTTTCCTTTTGGATAAAAGAAAAGTCGGTGGCGACTCTTGCTAACCGCAACATTTGCGATCAAATGCAAAACCTTCAAGTCAGTTCTCCCACCGTATCACAGTATGTCTTTATGATGATGATATATTGCTAACGAGAAGCTTTCCAGAAAGTATAATCAAGTTCAAGAAGGTGTTGATGAATGAGTTTAAGATGACTGATCTGGGAAATATGGTATATTTTTTAGGGATGAAGATTCTGTATTCGGAGAAAGGTATCATTGTGCCTCAGCCGAAGTATGAACTTGAGCTTCTGAAGAGATTTAAGCTGCATAATTGTAAAGCTGTTGTCACACCATCATAAACCAATCATAAATTGAATTCTGACTGATGGTGAAGATGTAGATGCTACAACCTTCAAACAGTTGGTTGGTTCTCTAAAATCAGACCTGATATTTGCTATGCAGTTAGAATGGTTAGTAGGTTCATGAGTAAACCTAAGTGGTCCCATTACCAAGCTGCTGTCAGGATTCTGAGGTATATCAAGGAAACTCTAAAGTTTGGAGTACTATTTCCTTCTGGAAGAAAGACAGATTTAAAGTTGATGAGTTACTCTGATTCTGATTGGTGTGGAGATAGAGTTGATAAAAGAAGTACTTCTTGATACTTGTTTAAATTTCTAGGAGGTCATATTTCTTGATGTTCCAAGAAGCAATTTGTTGTTGCTCTATCAACGTGTGAAGCTGAGTACATTGCAGGTGCTGTAACTGCATATCAAGTTGTGTGGCTTTTGAATTTATTGCAGAATCTGAAGATCAATGTAGATAAGCCTCTAAAGCTGATGATTGATAACAAGTCTGCAATAAGAACTCAGTTCTACACGGGAGAAGCAAACATATTGAGACAAAGTATCATTTTCTCATAAGTTAAGTCTAGAACAGAGTACTAGAAGTTGTGCCCTGTAGCACCCAGAAGCAGCTATTAAATATAATGATAAAGACAATCAAGACGGCTCAATTTCTTCGCTTAAGGGATGAAATTGGTGGTTAGTTTTTAATTAGAAATTCTAAATTAAGGGATAGTATTAAAGAGTATTTTAGTATTTTTAATTCTAAATTAAGTCTATTCTATTAGTGCCTATGTGGCATTCCCTTTTGTGTATAAATAGATTAGTTGTAAATGTCATAAATACAACATCATTATTCCTCTTGCATCTTTTACAGCCGTCATTCTCTTTGCGCTCTTAAATATATTCCTTTTGTTCTTCGTAACCTTGTGCACCAACAACATGCAGTCATTTTGTACCTCAACATTTAACTACCTTAACACTTAGAATACAAGTTCGATGTGCTTTGAATTGCCTTCACCATCAAGTTTAATTGTCAGTAATCCATCTTCAGAATTGTAACAAAACTCCTCCTCCTCCATGTCCACCAAGCAACTCTTCGGTCTGACGTTGGAGTATGCTCCAAAACGGCCACCTCCTCTGCTTTTGATTTTTACTATCATGCAATCTGCAACATCCATTGTACACAACAGTTCTTCTACAGCTCCTCCTGAATTGTACATGTCAAGCAATCCAATTGGTGCAAATTGTACAACATTACCAAACACCTGTTTATGCATATGTTAACATTTTATAACACATTAGATTTGGTAAAGAAAAAAAGATGATTTTTCACAAAATGTATTATGTAGCAATGTCATGACACTTACCCGGATTGGACATACTGTATATACTTCACATTGAAGAGTCTTCAAGGACACTTGTAGTTTTCCTCCACTTGGTAGCTTGGAAAGCAAGCCTGCAATATTGTACAATTTATAAGTATGTTGGATATTCAAGATTCTAAAAGGTGTAGACGTTACTTAAGTGCTTAGAGCACACACTCTTATCATTTAAGTGTTTATGTATACACTATTTCAAACTGTTTTATAAGCCATCCTGGAGAGCTTATAGAAATAAGCTGAAACTAACTTATAGACATATCATAAGCTGTTTTTGTAAACTCTATCAAACTGTCTCACAAGTGTTTATGCTAGTAGGTAGATAAGCTTAAATAGGTTAATCTAAACATTTCCTAAGTTTAAATTCGAACCTGCATTGAAGGCATATAATATGCAGTCTCCATTCCAGTTTTCACTTGCCATGTCTTCAAGAAACTCAACATCAAGTGGCCTAATTTTCTCTGAAATGGTTAAGTGTGTCGGTGTGACTTCTGATGATTTCATTGGCCAACTTCCCGCTCCTTGGCAATTAAAGACGCCTATTACCCCGGTCAGCTTGTTCAAGTTCCAAATTTTCAGCAGACTGTAAAGAATAAAAAAAATAATATAGTTGTTCAGTAAGAATGAAAACTGGTCAGAAAATTATGGCAAATTAAAGACTATTATTAGACTAATAATAGCAACTTAACTTACCTTTTACCATCCATTACAGGATCTTGAAACAAACAATCTCGAGTAGGACGACCTGCATATCTTGCTCTTAAGACTGATCCATTAGGCAGTACTAGTTTCTTCAGGATTTTAAAATCATGATTTCCAGGCTTATCACTGTTACGCATCAAAAACGGAAAATCATATTTATTTTTTCCTCAACCTATATAGTAAGTTTTTAAGGCAAAATAAGTGAGACCAAGAATTGTGTCTGATTTGATGCATTACCTAACATATACTGCACAACCACCTATTGCTCTTGCTGCAGCATGAAACTCAGCTGTCTCGTGCTTGCTCTGAAATAGAAACATTTCAGAGTCAATAAGAAGCTTCCAACTCATTAGTATTTTCAGACATGAAAGGTAAAGAAAAGTAATGGCACAAAAATATTACATGGAACATGTCCCAATCTGGCACAAAAATCTCCCCTAGAAGAAGACTGTTAAAAGCTACTGAAGCAATGTGTAACGTCTGAAACGTTGGTTCCCTTGGCATGAAATCCTCGGATGCTCTTGCTACTGCACTCTTCTTTGAACTGACAATTAAGAATAATAAAAAAAAGGACTACTCATCAGAAAACAGAATCCGAAGAATATTTAAGATTGTATTAGCTTAACTATTAAGAATACAAACCTGTAAATTGAATCAGAATTGTGACACATGCAGCAAATGAGGTTATTGCGCTTAAAGTTCCTTGAAATTGATGTCTCTAATGCTTCTTGATACTGTTTGGTTAATGAGACACGTCCACCATACCCTGAACCCAAAGTTTCTATCAAATTTTGGACATCTACCTTGACTCCATCGACGCCGCAGCTAGCAAGATATTTGTGAAAGTCATTGTAAAATTCATATAATTTTGATGGATCTATGATTCCAACTCCATATTTTTCCAAGCTGTCCATGGCTATATCTCTTAGGTTCCCTGTGTTACCAGGTGATTGAATTGGATATGTAAGCTTCGGATTATACTTTTTCATCGCATCTGAAGACGGGAGTACTCCTCCCCAATAACCAGCTAAAGCATGCCACATGTAAACATATCTGTAGAATGCAGAATCATATTCATTGTCAGTTTTTAAGTTTCCGTGAATTACGGTATGGTAGTTTTACTTTCTAGGCTTTTTATTGAGTTCAGATAGCTTACTTTACACTCAAATTCTGTTTGATAAAGTGAACAAAATCATGGAGATTGTTGCAAGAATTGTTGGAACCAGCATTGCTGAACTTTTTATTTTCCTTAATGCCTATCAGTCTTGTTGCAAACCTAATAGATTATAAAATATGTGAGCTTGAGAATAACAAATGGAACCAAAAAGTATGGCCTTGATCGAAAAGAGAGATTTACTGAGTTCCTTCAACTATTGGTTCGCCTTCTTTGTGAAACTCGTTGAGCCCCTCTTGCCACCCATCATCAACAATGACAAACTTTGGCGTAAAACCTCCACTTGAGAGACTATTTAATTTAATAGGGGAAAAAATCATCTTCAATATTTACAAAATTTGCAGGCTTATCTATCACATAGGTAAAGTTACTTGAAAAGGTACATTATAATAGGTACCTTTGAATCCCGTCTTTTATTCCTTGTGGATTTACTTGAGTGTAAAATGCATCCCAAGTGCACCAACCAAACCAATCAAGATGTACAGGAATCTCCTTGTTTTCAAGATGACAGAAAGTTCCTTTGTGTTTCTCTAATATCCTGTATCATTAATTACCAATAAAGTGGATATGAAATCTGTTCTTCAATTATCATATTACAAAGAATATGGACATTTTAGAACAAGAAAAAAAAACATACTTGATAGAATCCTTGATTAGCTCAAATGGATTGTCACCTGAATTTACAAACACTGCCTCAAGTGATTGAGAAGTTTGAACACAGGCATCTCCTAAAGCATTCAAAAATCAAAATTCATATTAGTATTGAATTTAAATAGCTGAGCTGACAATGATAAATTAATAATGTAGAATATTTTTCTCTCTCACTGTTAGAATACTGAATTCCCCATGAAGAAAAGAGAGAAAAGAGTTTGAAGCAATCAATCTGCATTATTAAGCTTTATTTGAAATTGTACATGCATCAATCTTATATAGCTTATCAAATAAGTGGTAAACAAGCCTCGGCTAACTACAACAAACTAAAACAAACTCTAGCTGACTAGTTTCCCAGAATGGAAGCCTTCTAACTAATTTTTTAACTCAGTTACTAAAAGGGAAAGTTGGTTACAAAGTGAAAAGGCTTAAACACATCACCACTTCAAAGCTTCTATGCTTCATTCTTTCAACACTCATTTTAAGCGTATAATAAAAATTATACAGAAATAGAAAGCAAACACGCAATGAGCTATGCAACTATCTCTTTTTGGGTGGCAACATCAATCATCTTAAAAACTATATTCGTTGATTTAAGAGACACAACATTGATATGTATAAGTCTCTGGACTATGTAAAAAATCCATTAACTCTGGTATTAAAAAATCAAAAATCTCAAAGACAAATAATATGAAACCATGTTGATTATCAGAAGACGCTACAAAACATATAAGAAAAATGAAAAATAAACCAACTAACCACTTTCAACGCAGAATTGAAGCTCGTTAAACGCAGTTCCTTGCAAAGTTGCACGAAATGCTCCATCCAACACAGGCAAGAAGAGAATGTAGGAAATGTTGTCTTCTTCTAGCTCTTGAGAATCAGAAGAAAACTCTGGCTTAAACGCAGTCTCGTCTCTTGCTTCTACTAGCAGCAACTGAGTTTCCATTGGAACATCACTCGCGGATCGTCCTACACGTGGTATCATCCACCATATTTTGACTCTGAATAAAGATAATAACCTAAATCCCCTGCATTTTTTTTTTTGTAAATAGACAAAAAAAAATTCTTAATTCTTGATAAAATCTATAAAAAAAAAACATAAAAGTAAATGTAATAAACTTGATAAAAATGAAAGCTTAACACATTAAAGTGATACTAAGTCTCATCTAAGGTAAACAATTCGTAACTAACTTGCAAGTAATAAGTAAGTCTCATATGTTGTAACGAATTTGTAACAAACTAGTATTGCAAGTAATGATAATCTGTAACGGTTTCTATGAAAAGAGAAGGGATGAGAGTTACAGGAGAGTGCCGAGAGTGAAGAGATGACGGGAGCTTGGAATTGGGGAAGTTGCGCCTAAAAAAGCGGATCCTGCGGAAACTGGAGAAACCACAATGTTTTCGGGGACGCGTGTCAAAATCACGCGGTCTTTCACCATAAGACACTGGTTCTTTACGGTTGGCACAACCGTATTCGTCATTTTGGATGTGAAACGATGAACGGAGTTGAGAGAAGAAACACCAAAAGGAAGTTGAGAATGTAATTGCATATTAGAATTTGTTAGGTACGTTGATGAATGATGAAGTGAACAGTTTGAGGTAGGTGTGAAAGGAAGGTTGATTTATTTATTAATTTTTTATTCATTCAAGTATATCTTTTGTTACAGTGATAGTAGATAAGAACGTTAATATTATTCACCATTGTTTTGTTTTATTATTTGTTGACTTATTTTTACTCGAAATTTTGTCGTTAGAGTCTGCAAGTGGCGGCGGTGGTGGACACGGCACTCGGTTTTCTTCTGTTAACAACAACTGGTGATGGTTGTATCGCGTGTGGGAAACATGCATTGAGTAAAGGAATTTACCTTTCAATAAAGTCTGAACAAGAACAACGTTACATTAATCATTTCCATTTAAAATAGTAGTAGAATTAGCATCCTAACAGGTAGGATTTGGGAACTGTTTTTAATGTAGCATGCAAATCAATTTAACATGAGTGTAATATAAATTGGATATGAGAGTGTTTCAAGGTTTTAAAAAACGGTAACCATCGTTTTTCCGATTTTGATCGGTACAGATGTTGTGATACTGATTGCGGTCGTTGCGGTGTGAATTTATTATAATTTATTCTTTAATATAAAAATGGTAATAACGGTATCGGTATCGGCATCTATCAAAACCGTTTTGTCACGATGATATTCGCGGTCGCGAACTGTTTTTTAAAACCTTGGAGTGTATATTATTTTATTTGTGCAAACTAGTTTTATACCTTGAGTCAATTAGAATGTATTTGAGATGAATTGGACCTCAACTATTTAAGTCTTTGGTCGACGCAAAACAGTTGCCTCCAAAGCTTTGACAAACAGTAAGGAAGTCAGGAAAACCTTTAGTAATTTTGGTCGGTCCTCAAGAATGTTGTCTAATGTGAGAGAGAATCGAAACGTTTTGGAGTCAGTTGAAGAAGTAGTATGAAAACAGGAGCATTAAATGTTTTCTTAGCACCAAAATGTTTCACTACCTACTCTTATCATGTCATCCTAGGTCTGCAAGTCATGAAATGACTTCGCTACCTAGGGTACTTGAGTATTTACGGCTCTGTTTACCTCGGGTTTTGGTAAACAACCGCTGATCCTCCAAATGGTTACTTATTTGGTTACTCGCAGGATCGATCAGATTGATCCTATGGACATAGGTTGATTTTGAAGTTTGATTAATGTGGATAAGGCTTTAAGTAAAATGTTTCAAGTAAATTGCATAAAGGAAAGGCTTGGTAAAATAAACAAGGCTTTAAAGTAAAGGTTCGACAGGAATTTAAAGGAGAAAAGCATGTAAAATACTGGAAAAGTAAATGACTTTAATTGATAAAAATTGGTGTTTCACACATACATTTCTCAACAATTCTTTCGCTCACACTGGGTACTTGAATCTAAATGAGTGACTATGTATTTATTGTGAACACACGCGAGAAACTACACGTCTACTCCTATTTATACTAAAACATCCAAGTAACTGTCGGGCAGTTATGCTGCTTCGAGATTGAGCCACTTGGCACGTTCTCCATGCTCGACGCTCCAGATCCTTGCACGTTTGCACGTAGTAACTGCTGGAAACCGTTTTCCCTCCAAAGCTTTGAATTTCAAACTGCTCCACTCTGGACCGTCGAACACTTTCATCAAGAGACGTCTTCGACGAAAACTCCTTCGACGTCGAAGGCAATCAGCCTTCTTCCTTGGAAGAAATCTTCTAAGTATTTTGCCATCTTTCGACGGGCACTTCGACAAGCTTAGCCAGTCGAAAGCATCTTTCAGCTTTTAATGGCTGCCATCAATCAAAACAAAGGTGTCGAATTTAAGAGCCAACAAATTGCCCCCCAAGAATGCCTTATTTCGACTCTGAAAGAAAAAGGCATTCTTTGAAAACGCCATTCGACACCTGTTTTTTCCACGCTTAGTCACAAGTTAACTTGTGCACTTTTTGTTGCTTTTTACCAACTATTGGCAATCCCAAGAAACCATCATTGATTTGATCCTAGGACGTCACTTTCAGTACGGCGTGCAGTACCAAACATCACTTCAGAATTTGTCATTATGACAAATCCCAAAAACGAGGACGCACGCTGCGTCTCTCTGTTTCTGCAGAAACGGCCAAAACAACAGGATGCTGCCACGCGTCCCACTAATTCCTGCAGCATTAAATGACATTTAATGCCCTCGTTATTGGGAATTTCTCCCACTACTATAAATAGTAGTGAATATCCCATTGTGGGACTTTTCACGCACACTAGCCCTCAAACTCCCTTGCTTTCATACAAAACTTGCTCTCTTTGCAGAAAAACTCTTCCTTTTTCACTTCATCTTCATCCTCAACAATGGCCTCTGCTTCTACTGCCCCCAAGACTAACGCAACAACTGAGCAACTTGTTAAACCCAAGGTCTTTGTTACTGCTCCGGTAGTGAACTCTACAGGGAAACGAAGGGTCCCCGAACCTTCTGACATCTCCGTTCGCGATGCTTACTCGCGTCACTTGATGATTCCGGTTGGATACTCCAACCAAATCTTCGCAATGTCTGGACCCATGAACCCAAGCATCTCTGAAGCTCTGAAGATCAAGAGCTATTTCCCCATCGTCGAGAAACTCAAGCCAGTAGCATGCGCCAAGAAGGACGCAGAAGACAACGAAGACCCTACACACGAGAAGATCGACCTTCGTTTCTTCAACAAAAGTGTTAGAGTCTTCAGGTCTTGCCCTAATCTGACCTCTGACTATGTTGCTTGGCTAACAAAGTTGGAGAAACATCAAACTCCAGTCTGGAAGGAAATGGGAATCTTTGACCTAGTAATGCTGTCGAAGACAGGTTTAAACTACTCCCCAGAAATGCTTATAGCTTCGCTGTTGTTCTGGGATAACTCTCACTTCACCTTCCACCTTCCATGTGGGATGTTAACTCCCACACTCTTCGACGTAGCGGCCATTACTGGTCTTCGACCAACCGGAGATTACTTCGACCCGGAGGAGATGTCGGAGGACCAAATTGGTTTTTCTGAGACCAAGCCAACATATACCACCTTTATCAACCATTATCACGACAGGTCGACGGATTCAGTGTCGGATGTCGAACACATAGCGTTTCTAGCCTTATGGCTAACTCGCTTTGTGTTTTGCTCGAAATCTCTACAAGTGACCAAAAAGATGGTCACTCTTGCCACCCAACTGCATCACCGCCAAAACATCTGTTTGGCAGAACTAATTCTGGCCAGTCTTTATGACTCAATCAGCAATGGGGTTACTCTCTTGAAACATGTCGAAGATAGGAACAGTTTGCTACTCGCTGGGCCTTTCTGGCTACTTCAACTGTGGCTCAACGCCACTTTCGAATCTTTCATACCCAAGAAGATTCAGATAAATGAACAAGCCCCAGCGATAGCTAATAGACGTATCGAAGGAATTAGGCTGGCTCTACTGACACCTGTGGAAGATGGGCTGGAGTTCCAACAAACCTTCACTAACTTCGTTCTGATGTTCGCTCGAAGGAAGGAATTTGTTTCAACTATGGCTCCATTTGCTCAACGGAAAGTAGGGCCAGCATGGTTCACAAGGCCACACCCAAAGGAGTCGAGTGGTCCCAACGTCGATGAGCACACTGTACTTTGGGAGGCGTTCCTGACACCCAGGATCATGCCTCTTCGATTTAAGAGTTCTAAGACTCATTTGAGTCTGCTTGCCTATCAACCAAATCTGGTATCTCGCCAGTTTGGTATCATCCAAACCCTGCCTTCTCCCATTTTCCAAAGAGAGAAGTCAATGTTGTACTTCTGCAACGATTATACAGAAGAAGCTGCTACCAAGCATATCGGAAGGTATGTTGGTCGAACAATCCTCTCGCTGTTCAACTACCAGCTTAACTTCCTTTGCTCACCATCTTTTGAAGAGTGGTGGAGAAGCTATTATGCTGAGTACTTCTTCGACGAGAAGGACTTCATAGAAGAGTTGCAGAAGTCTTTTGTCCTTGTGTTGGACAAAGTAAAGAAATGTAAGTTCATGCTCTCACATTACTTTTTTATCTTTCTCTTCGACTGTTAGCCTGTTAACTTTCCTTTTCGCTTTCAGTTGTTCGAAAACCCCTAGCCAAGAAAGCTACAGAAGGCCCACAAGGAAGAGTCCCTTCGACAAAACCTCCACCGCCGGCGAAGACTATAGCGCCAGCGAAGACAACGGGCAACCAACAGGGGGAAGGCTCTTCGAGGAGGCCTCCTGCATCGGTAACCAGATTTTCTTCATTTTCATTCTGGCTTTCGATTTTTTATTTTCGACGTGATTATTCAATCGAATTCCTATTGGTTTTCTAGGCCCCTTCGCCCAAGAAAAGGGCAGCATTGGTGATCGAATCGGGAAGTGATGACGACAGTGATTCCCCTCCTACTCCCTTAAAGAGGCGAAAGTTAACGAAGGACGCTTCTGTTCCTACTCCTGCTCCTGAAGGTCGAACCGTCAGAATAAAGGTCGGTGTGAGAAAGCCTAGGCCACCTGCAGTGGTCATCGAGGAACCAACTGAGGAGGAACTGAACGCTCTTGTTACCAAGCCTGTCGAAAGTGACAATTCCAGCCCTGGGGCTGAAGTTAATCCACAGGTAATCTATTGGACCCTTCTTATAACTTAGGCATAGATACCAGTATTCGATTATGTCTCTTTTCGACATCTGAAGATTTGTCTTCTTTCTCTTCTTCAGGACACCACTGAAAGTTCTCCACCAAGGACTTCAGAAACTCTAGAATCTGCTGAACTCAGCAGGCCTCAGGAGAAAAATTTGGACCATGACGAAGCCCACACTGAGAATGAGGCCAATGCTGAAACAGTGGAGAAGACAACTGAAGAACCTATGGCGGAGGAAACACAGCCAGAAACGGTTCCTGTGGTGGACTTGTTGTCAGAAGAGAATCCTGAAGGAAGAGACCAAGGCAATGGCGAAGAGAATCAAGATG